CTCAGCCAAACCCACCGCAAAAAAGGCCCGTCGGTCGACCAAGGAAATCTGTCAGCCAGTCAACGAAGCCGGACATCTCGCACGCATCGAATGAATCTGTATCCGCCGATCCGACCGAAGCTATTGAATCGGCGCAACCCCAATCCACCCCTGCCCCTCGAGGAAGGGGCCGTCCCCGACGCAGCACAACTTCAGGATCCCGACCTGCTTCACCTTCAGCCCGGAATAACGGACGATCAAACGTGGAGGGAAAGGACCAGACGGGACAGGAGACCTCGCAGACGGCATATGGCGGGGAAGCAAATCACCAAACTGGCAGAACCCCGGTTGAGGAGCAGAAGAACGGCGGAGGCTCTACCCAAGACACTCTAGCCGAAGCTGCAGTGCACGACAAGCGCAAGGCCAAGGTCGCGGCGCGGGACGTCATGACCCGAATGGCCATGCAGCACGAAGAAATGATGGAGACGGAGGGGGCGCGATAATGATCACCAGTCGAGAATGTGTACGATAGAAGGCGTGTTATGAACCAATGCCCCCCTGGACCCCCTCCTTTATACTGGGGGTACTACCACTCCGTATAAGTATCGTGGATCCAAACATATTTAAACCCCGACCGTGTGAGATACTTGCCGGGCACACAACGCGGATACAATTGTCTGAGACATAGATCCAACCGTATCTAACTAGTGGCCAAGCCACACCATGTCCTCTATCTATCTATTTTATACACATAAAGCCACAGCCCTCGCGGGCTCGCTCACATGCTTTCTTCAGGGCCTGTTCCTCCGCATCTGTCCATTTAACAGTTAATTCATCCCATGGCACGCGAGAGGTATTGAACTCCTCGCGATATTTCCTGTGCATAGCCTGCAGACGGCCAACCTCGCGCGGATCACCTGTTCCGGAGTAGACCATGAACAAGGTGCAAGGGGGCAGAGAGTCGTAGATACGGGCGATGTTGGAGACGGTTTGGGACACGGTTTCGGAGAGGGTGGCGGTGTTGCTGCCGTCTGTTTGCGAATCTCCGTTCGTACCACCTGCCGTAGTGGTCGGGGTGGTTTCTTCCGGTGGCGGGACGATGGTTGTGGACTGGTTGGCATTGTCCGGGTCTGGAAGTCGGTTGCACCACCCGCGCAGGTATTCGAGTTCACGCAGCCGGCCCCAGACAAAGTCAACGCCGCCGCCGGGAATGGAGTGGTTGGATTCGTCGCCGTTGATGGCGGCGGAAATACCGCTGACGACGCTGTTGTCGTCGCGGCAGCCGATCGAAACGGTTGCTTGTGCGCCGAGTCCGCGTTCCGGACTGCCCCAATCGACGACCGCACCAGTGCGTCCCCCGCTTGCGTTATCAGACTTAAGCCCTGGCCGTGAGGATCGGGATAATCGACGGAAGATGCTCTCATTTGAGGCTTCGCTGGTGCCCCATCGTTCGCCCTTTTCGCATTTCTGTTTGACGAGTTCAAGAACGGCTTTAGCGTCTTCAATTGAGTCATGGCCCGTCACTCCCTTTTGGATCTCCTTGCCCAGGTATTTCTGCGTGAGCCATTTCAAACTGCATTTGAGCGGCGGGCCGCGTGGGTGTGGATAGGTGATGGTCGTGTCCACGATGAAAGGGTGTGCGATTTTGAGGGCGTTCAAGTCAGAGTCGAGAGAATGGCCAACCAGAATGGTACGCGGAGTGAGAATTTCCAACAGCCGTTGTTGAATGTCGCTGAGAGTAGTCGTCACCGGATCCAGTAGCTCCTTAGTGATACCCGAAAAGCGAGTTAAATAGTCAATGACTGGCCGTGGGGGCTTTACAAGCTCGTCCATCACGACCTCCCCGTCCCAGCGGACCAAGCTGATGCGAGTGAGCTCCGACTGTCCGCCCTCCGTGAGGCACATCTCACAGTCGAGTGCGAGCACTTCTCGTCCGGCTGTCATGCTGCCCTTCTCAATCTCAGCGTCAGGCACGTTGCCAGCCTCCAGATTTGGAACCAGCGTATCCACCCATCCGTCCTCAGTAGACTGACCAGCTCGCTTACGAGACTCGGCTGCCGCCGCCTTCTCTTCTTCGGATGTGAAGAAAGCGGGATGTGGAGCATATCCGTTTTCGCACAGTTGTTCGTATGTGCTGATAAAGGTCGTAATTGGGGTCCGTTGAGACGAAATGCTCTTGTCGACCCGGGGTGGCCGTACGCCTTTGCGCTGTCCCTCGTCCTTGTTTTTTGGTAGGGAGGAAAGCAGGATAGCCTGAAGTGGTGAATGAACTTTGTTGTATTTCGCGTCTCCTGGGGCCCTGACTGGCCAGATATGAGGAAACATGTCTGCGAGTGGCTGTAAGGGTTCTGGTAGGGTATCGCGCGAGAGAGATTGTGGGTTGAATCGATGCGAACGGTCTTCGAGGGGCAGTCCTTGCTTCCATCGTTGGAAATCCGCAGCCTTGGTGTCTGTCGTTGATTCGCGGTCGTTGGCACCGTCCTCTTGCCCAGTTACTTCTCGAATTGCTGTTTTCTCGGGCTCTAAAGGGATGGTCCCGTCAAACATGCCCATTTCCAGTCCTGGCACCATCAGCACGGCAATCTTGCGCACATGGCCGGAGTGCTTGAGCGAGATCCACTGCGGCGCAATCCCATCGGCGAAGCAATATAGAAGCAAGCTCTGGAGGTCGGCAATCCGGACTGACGATTGCATTCGACCCTCGACATAGTTCAGGGCTGGGTATTTGACCTTCTCCCCATCCACCCTCTTCTTCTTTTTTGCGTGGCCAGGCATACTCGTCGTCGTGGTCTCGTTGTCCTGCAGACGGGACAGTGTCTGGGCTAGCCCGAAGTCGCTGCCGGTGGAGGGATCCGCGATGGGGGAGTCATCTTCGGTGTTCATGCGCTTCCTCTTGTCACGAGGCATTGTCTGCGGCTGCACGAGGGGCTGGTCGGGGACGTGGAAGCTCTCCGATTGCGATTGCGAATAAATTCGATTCCTTGTCACGTGCTGATAAACCCGGAGATACAGTGGCCTTGTTGCCTGAGGTGTGTGCCCTCTTTTCTCTTCGCACTCGAGTTTCGATCATCCATCCATCCGTACTCTTACTCCGTTGTTTCTGGAATTTGTTTGCTTCTTTCACATCCTTAGCTTCTCATTCCTCCGAAATTTCTAGTTCGATACGCACAGTTCCATTGGCTGACTAATCTCCGATCTGATAAGCCCGTGATCGCCGGTGGTGCTTGTCCGGGAAAAATCGCCTCCGTCACGCCATCGCTTCACTCTACAACAATCGCAGCAGACACAACTCATCTTGGGCTGTCTATACGATATCTGCTTCTCACCAGACCCACGCTCAAAATATCCCCCGCTTCTAGTCGGTAGCCACCGCGTCCTTCCTACCTCCTGCTCGCCCACACATCCCAACTATGTCGGCGCTCACCGAAGTCACATCCGAGGCGGACTTCTCGTCGCACTTGGCCTCTCTCGCACCTTCTGCACTTGTCGTCCTCTACTTCCACACACCATGGGCTGCTCCCTGCACCCAGATGCGCGCCGTCCTCGATGCCCTGGCCGCCCAGTACCCCGCCGCCGCCCCGCCCACCATCTCCTTCCTCAGCATCAATGCCGAGGAGCTCCCTGACATTTCGGAGGAATATGATGTCTCTGCTGTTCCTTTTGTCGTCTGCGTGCGCGATGGCCAAGTTCTCGATTCCGTCAGCGGTAGCGACGCCATCAAAGTGCGCGACCTTGTCGAGCTGCATGCCGGCCGCGGCACCACCGGTCCTATCGATGGAGTGAACAGAGCCAACATCCCGCCTCCTTTGTCTGCTGTGCCCCGCGATGATGCACCCACAACCGCCACTCAGGCACCAGCCTCCGCTGTCGATGGCTCAGCCGGCCCCGCTGCGAACGCTACTCCCGTCGCCTCAGCCCCGGCTCTGACTGCAGAGCAGACGAAGGAGGCGCTCTGGGCACGCCTGACAGACCTTGTCAAGGCTGCTCCGGTCATGCTGTTCATGAAGGGCACGCCCAGCTCGCCTCAGTGCGGGTTCAGCCGGCAGTTGGTCGGCATTCTTCGTGAGCGCAGCGTCAAGTATGGATTCTTCAACATCCTGGCCGACGAGGATGTCCGGCAGGGCCTGAAGGAGTTTGCCGACTGGCCAACCTTCCCGCAGTTGTGGGTGAGCGGAGAGCTTGTTGGTGGATTGGATATCGTATGTTTCTACCCTTACTCATCCGTTGAATCTGCTGCTAATCGTATTTGGTATAGGTCCGCGAGGAGATCAACAGTAACCCCAGCTTCATGGAAGAATTCTCTGTCAGCAAGCCTGCGGCCGCTTAGTAGTTGGTTGTCCTTGCGCGATACCCATCCTGTCCTCGGGATTTAGAAGATACAAAAATCAACCATAATGATACACGTCTTTACCTCAAGGGATCTGTCTACCTTACATGGACACAGTACCATCACTCTATCTATGGTGCCTGATCTATACTTCACCGGTTCACCGATTTCCCTTCCAGTGGAACCGAGAGTTAGCCTGCAACAATCCGTCCTATTCGACAACTTTCAGTTGGGCCGAGTGACATCCCACTGTTACATACTGATCTCATAGATGGCAGTCTAGGGCCCCCATCTTGGCGATGACATTGGCTCGTAGAAGGATTCTCCCAACCCTCTGGGTCTTCGACCTGTTTGGGCAGGTCTATGTGATGAAGGATCTTGGGACGCGGATGAAGTAGATGTTTCTTATGCTTTGTGTTTGCTGTCTTCAGTTCTGATGGTTGGAATCCAATGTTTTTATTCAATCATTCCATTCGGCAGCGTGTAATACGCAAGTGTTTCTATCATCCGCTCCTCTAATTCTATGTCTAAGAGAGATAAACTGGTCGTACAGACATGAGATGAGATAACATATATGGCAATGAGACAAGCGTTCGCATAACCCCGTTGTCCGCGACCTTCTCATTCCATTCTGGCAAAATTGCTAGAGCTTCCCGAACTCTGCTTGGAAAGCTCAGCCTCTGACAGCTATCGACTAGTCCTCGCTGGCATCGTCGGGAGTAGAATCCGCCGTCGCTGGAGTTGCGTCTCGCCAGACATTCGGATACTTCTTCTGGCACACGGCGTATCGAGACAGCATAGCGTCTTCATCGACATACGCGCCCGCGAGCCACCTGGAGCCATCGGTGGTATTGAAGTGATTGCGAGCATGAGCAATGCGACGGTTGTTGAAAATCACGCACTCGCCCGGGTTGAGCTTCAATTGAAAGATGTTCGACGGCTTCTGAAGCTGTTTTGCAAAAACTCCAAGACTTTTCATGAACCTATCTTGGTCGTCTTTGGTTGTCTTTGCGAGAGGCAGTGCGGACTGGAACGGCGGCGAGTAGTTGACATACTGCACGAATTCTCCTGTGGCATCCATCTGGATGACGGGCCGTTTGTTGTGGTAGATATGGTTGTCATGCTGGTACTCATACGCAAGCTCCATCTGTGTTAACAGGTCGTAGTCTGACTTGGTTCCCCGCATCCGCAGCCAATTTACAACGTTGAAGGTATCACAGAACAGGGACTCGCCCCCCTCGCATGAGTTCTCGAGGCAGTGCAGTAGCTGGAAGCCCGGCGGCTCGTTCATGTACACCAGATCCATATGGAAGCCGAGGTGCTGGTTGGTGTATGCGACGTTCTTGGCCTGCGGCACTGTGCGCACATCCCATGTTGACCCGTAGAAAGTATTCCGCAGGGGACCCATGCGCGTGGCAATCTTCTCCACCATCTCTCGGGACTCGGGGATATCCTTAACAAAAATCAAGCCCAGGGTTTGGAGACTGCGCATGGCCGCCGTGAATTTGACCTCGTCGTCCATGTAGTCTTCGAACGAGACCCAATGTTGCCATCGCTGCATCCGAGCGTTATGCCAAGGACGGACATGCCGAAGATTCTTCGGGTCATGTAGCGCTAATGTGACCGGCCGTTCCAGATAGTCTGGATCGAAGCTCGAAGTGTGCGATTTTCCGTATCCTGGGATATCGTTTTGCCATTGGATGACTAGCTTCTTATTATCCCATTCCACCCGGCGTGGAGCAACATTGGGTGGAATGTCACTTGACCGGAAAGAACGCTGCTTTGAGTGTGGGTCGACACATTGAGGACATTTGCACAGATCTCTCAGATAGAAGTAGGTATACATGTTCTGCTTAGATGTGCCATTGTACACAAACAGTCTGTCCGATTCGAGCCTTAATTTGGCATCATTGATGAGATTCTTTTCGCATTTAATGACATTTGTCGTTCCGGGCTGGGAAAGCCACAGGGAGGAGACCTCTCCGCCCGGGCGAAGGGAATCACTCGGGTCCCCCGTATGTCTTGCGGCAGCGGCGAAGCCGCACCGGGGAGCTTGCGAGACACCGCGAGCAAGGCGAAGGAGCGCCGGGGCCCGTCGATAATACATGGAGGAACAATGGAGGGCCAATGGCTGGGCAATGGACGAAAAAGAGAAGAGACCAAGAAAGAAGCAGAAGAAGAAGCGGAAAGCAGCATGTGAAAGCTTGCTTCCCCGGAAAGACTGAGCCTTACGTAACGAGTTATGTCGGATTTTCAGGTTAAACTTGGAACCAACAACAAACAAGAAATGGCGCTTCGACGCTGAACTGCCCCATACCATCGCACTCACTACCTAATGTCGGCCGGGGGCGAGCATCTCAAGGATGAAGGCACCAGGCGCCAGGTCGTGCTGGCCGGCGGCGCCGCCGGCCTGATCTCGCGCTTCTGCGTGGCGCCGCTGGACGTCGTCAAGATCCGCCTACAGCTGCAGGTTCACTCGCTATCGGATCCAACGTCGCACAGATCGGTGGCAGGGCCTGTGTATAAGGGAACCTTGTCGACGATGCGGGCTATTGTGCGGCAGGAGGGGATAACAGTAGGTGTCCCTCTTATCCCATCGGCCATTGTCCATGGTGGTCTATGAGCATTGTCTGACCTTTTCTTTTTTTTCTTGTAGGGCCTCTGGAAAGGCAATATACCCGCCGAAATGATGTATGTCTGCTACGGCGCGATCCAATTCACCGCATATCGCAGCACAACCGAAGCCCTCGCCCAGCTGGATCCGCACCGGCTCCCGCCGCCCGCGGAATCCTTCATCTCCGGCGCCGTAGGGGGCGGGATAGCCACCGCCGCAACATACCCGCTCGATTTACTACGCACAAGATTCGCAGCACAGGGAACAGAACGGATATACAGGTCTCTGGGGGGCTCGATTCTCGAGATTGCACGTCACGAAGGCGTCCCTGGATTCTTCCGTGGCTGCTCAGCGGCCATCACGCAGATCGTGCCGTACATGGGTTTATTTTTCGCGACGTACGAGTCGCTAAGACCTGTAACGGCGCATTGGGAACTGCTTCCCTTTGGGACTGGCGATGCGGCCGCTGGTGTTGTGGCTAGCGTGCTGGCTAAAACCGGTGTGTTTCCGTTGGATCTTGTGCGGAAACGACTGCAGGTGCAGGGTCCGACGCGTACCCGCTATGTTCATCGCAATATCCCCGAGTATCGCGGCGTCGTACGCACTATTGGTATGATTCTGCGCACGCAGGGCCCGCGTGGTCTGTACCGTGGCTTGACCGTTAGTCTGTTCAAGGCGGCGCCGGCGAGTGCAGTTACCATGTGGACATATGAGCATGCGTTGAAATTGATTCAGGAAATGGAGCTGGCTGTGGAAGCATAGAACAGGAACTTTGCATCATCGGATATTCGGCTGGGGAAGCATTCAACGGCGTTCTTTGGATTAGGGATGGAGATATATCTCTACGGGGCATACGGTGCCAAACTTATAATGAAAGCATGGGTAATCTGGGATAGAATAATTTGACTGATTTTGAACATCCATATCATAAACTGTGCCAACAATTGTCCGAACACAAAGAGCAAAGAACGCTGGAAGAGCATCGGCAAAAGGGGTTGTCGCAACGGGAGAGGGGCAAGACATGTCTGAGGGAAGACACGAAGAGAATCAAAACAGCAATAACATGTGCGGCGAAACACGGTGTGGAGAGATTTAGCTTAGTGCTCCTCGTCCTGTGACTCCACGACATCACCAGCGACCTCTTCGTAGTCCTTCTCCAGAGCGGCCAGATCCTCACGAGCCTCGGAGAACTCACCCTCCTCCATGCCCTCGCCAACGTACCAATGCACGAAGGCGCGCTTGGAGTACATGAGATCAAACTTGTGGTCGAGGCGGCCCCAGGCGTCAGCGATGGCGGTGGTGTTGGAAAGCATGCTCACGGAGCGGTCGACGGGGGCAAGCTCGCTGTTAGGGACACGCGTGGGCTTCTGGTAGTTGATACCCAGCTTGAAACCGGTGGGGCACCACTCAACTAAGTTGAAGGATGACTTGGCCTTGAGCGCAGCAACGGCCTGCGTGCAGTCCTGGGGCACAACGTCGCCGCGGTACAGAAGGGCGACAGCCATGTACTTGCCGTTGCGGGGGGTCGCAAACAACCATCTGGTTGTTGGGCTCGAAGCCTATGCAGAGTCAGTATCAAACAGCAGCTACAAGCCACGGGGCTGGCTTACACTGGAAAGTGAGATCCTGGACCTTGAAGCTCTCGTGAGTGCTACGGTTGCTGGATATAACCGGGGCGTACGAGATCAGCGGGTAGTGGATACGCGGGTAAGGCACCAGGTTGGTCTGGAATTCGGTCAGGTCGACGTTGAGAGCACCGTCGAAGCGCAAGCTGGTAGTGATGGAGCTGACGACCTGGGCGATTAGACGGTTGAGATGCTCGTATCCGGGGCGCGGAATGTCCAGGTTGCGGCGGCAGATGTCGTAGACGGCCTCATTGTCAACGAGGAAAGTGCAATCAGAATGTTCAATAGTGCTATGGGTGGACAGAACGGCGTTGTAGGGCTCAACAACTGCCGTAGACACGCGGGGAGACGGGTAGACCGCGAACTCGAGCTTGGCCTTCTTGCCATACTGGCTGGAGAGATGCTCCAGCAACAGAGCGCCGAAGCCAGAGCCAGTACCGCCGCCGAAGGAGTGGAAGATCAGAAAGCCCTGCAGGGAAGAGCAGTTGTCTGGAATCCACTTAGCGCGTGTTAAAGACCAAAGCCGGTCGTCTTACCTGCCATATGGCGAATGCGGTCCATGACCTCATCAACGAGCTCCTTGCCAACGGTGTAGTGACCACGGGCATCTGTTAGTTGTTAGCATTTTTGTCCCCATAAACTTTGCCGAGGGACGCGTACAGTTGTTGGCAGCGTCTTCTTTACCACTGATCAACTGGTCAGGGTGGAACAGCTGGCGGTAGGTACCAGTGCGGATCTCATCGATAGGCTATTGTAGGCAGGTTGTCAGCCAATATTGGGTGCTTAATGTGCATTTCTAAATACCGAAGGATCCAGGTCAACGAAGATCGAGCGAGGCACGTATTTTCCATTGCCTGTCTCAGTGAAGAAGGTCTCAAACGAGCCACCCTTGCTGATCTCGTCAGAGTTGTCCGGGTCGACCTGGCCGTCAGCCTTCAGTCCGTGCTCGAGCAGGTACCTTCGTTGTTGTGTGAGTGATCGTCGCGGGAAGTGGGGGAAGTAACGGTGAGATCACCGCTCGCGATACTTACAGTTCCCAAGCGCTGTTGCCCAGCTGAATGCCAGCCTGGCCGATGTGCAATTGGCAGACCTAGTCGAGCCACGCGTCAGTATTGAGTTGGGGGGTTTTCGTAGGTGGGTGGGATGAATGGGCGTTGCCATGGCCAGGACGGAGGCTCATTGTTGACATGGTTGTAGATCAGGGGAATAGGTTGGGGAAACTTACCTCGCCACGCATGGTGATGAAATGATCACAGATACAAGAACAGTGGAAAAGGTGGGAGAAACCAAGAGAAGTGTGATGGGGGAAGAAGAGGAAAAGAGAAAATGTGGGGAGGAAAGTGGAAAGTGGATGAATACAATTATACCTGGACGAGATTCCCAATGGTTGAATTATTGTCTCACAATCTCAATCAGAACTGAAGGTACATGAGACATCGGTAGCCTTGGAAGTTGTTTGAAGCTAATCGTAAACCCGTAAGGAAGAGAAAGATTTATTCTATCAACACCGAAACAGACCGTGTTTAAACCAACACTGGAACTATTAACAACAGCACCCGCTCAACCCGAACAACACTGTATGCAAATGGGCAAAAAGAAGAGATGGTATGTATCAGATCGTTAAGATTTAACATGGATGAGAAGAAAATATGTATCACAGAAATTATGAGAGGCCCATTTCGGGTTGGGCATGTGATGGGTATGTAGATCAAAGTGTGTAGACAGAGAGGAAAGGAAGGAGGTTATGTTCAAAGATGGCAGACATAGCATCTAATACTGCTGCGTCGACATCGGCGGAGGCGGAGTAGCTTGGCCCTGCTCCATCAGATCGTCTCGATCAAGATCACGGCTGACGCCGCCACGATGCCTGAAAAAGCGATTCCGACTGGCCGATGAAGCACCGCTCTTGAAGCTCTGTGCGTCAGTCGACCGGCGACCGAACTCTTGGGACTGGGCAGCGCTAACATTGGAGGGACGACCAGACCGAGCAGACGGCGTGCGGCTGCGACGTTCCGCTTCTTCCTCGGCAACGTCTTGCATGCGGCGCTCGGCGGCATCGCGGTTGGCGGTGCGGACGACGTCGTCGATGCGCACGCCGCGGTCTTCAAATACATCGCCCATTACGTCGCCAGAGGCCATGTTCGACATCCCCAGGGAGAAATCGACGTGCTTGCGCTGCGAGACGGATGGGCCGCGGGCGCGCGCGTTGGCTTTGTCCATGCCTTTGCGGAGGATTGACGGGTGGCGGAGGGCGCTGCTGGTGCCGGTGTTTTCGGAGAGAGAGGTTGTGGTATCGTCGTCGATGCGGGTTTCCGGTTCTTCTTCGATGATTCGGTCGTCGTCCTGCCGGGGCGGAACGGGGGCCATCATGGGAGCATTGCCGTAGCTGACATGGAAGGGAATGTCGTACTGGGCTCCCTGGAGGTTCATGCGTGGGCCCTCGATGCCGATCTCTTGCAGGGCAATCATGAGCATGCAGATGAATTTGTTGCGGCGCTGCAGACGCAGACCCTCGTTCTGCCAGTTGGACTTGTAGAAGAAGACTACGTTGAGAGTGACAGAGAAGTTCTCCGTCACCTCGCGCAGCTCGGTGATGATGTTGCTCTGGAAATCGCGCTTCTCACTGCGCACAAACTCCAGAAGCCGCTGGCGCAGATTGTCCATCTGCTCGATGGTCGTGCCGTACTTGATGATGATGGGGATTGCCTCGGCGAGGGCACCCGAGCGGCGCTGGTTCAGAATAAAGAGCGTGTTTAGGTAACTGTTAGGTGCCTGCACGACATGGCCCTGCATCTTTTTGAACTCGGTGTACAGCAGCGTAATCTCCTTGACAAAGTAGTCATCGCCCAAACCAGAATCACCGGCGTTGCCGTAGATGGTGACGCGGTCACCAACATCGAACGGGTGCTTGATAAAGACGAAAATCACCGACTGGAGGAACTCCTGTGCGGTGGCAGAGAACAACCACGACAGGGCCAGAAGGCTTGATCCAAGAGAAGTGAGCACGCCGGCCGCCGAAGTCGAAATCAGCGACAGGAACACCACCACGACGATGATAAGCACAAAGAACATGAACACATCGTCCAACTTGGACACGACGGAATCCAAATCCTTCAAGGAGGCTGTGATCGATTTGCGCTCGCGACCAATGTCAACACAAACCGCCTCTAGCTCCTCCATGGATATATCACCGTTCAAGTCTCGATCAAACATGGTGAAGGCCGCTTCAGCCTCGTCGGTATTGTCAAAGGCTTCCTTCAAATCGCCGGCGAACACCGTGTCGAAGCCATCGCGCACAAACGTGCGGTACAGACGACGTGCCAGGACCTGGCAACCCGACGTAGTGCGCAAGAGGGTCAGAACCACCTGGTACGGATCGGTGCTGCGGTTGACCTTCCGGCCGGTAAAGTCGGCAGCAACAGCGCCAGCCACATCACCGACCTTGTTGCCCACCTTGTTCAAGGCGCGATTCGCCACACGCTGGGCCTTGTCGGCGTAGTGCTGGGGAGTCTTGGTACCAGAATCGGATTCGGGCCGCTTTTCCTCAAAGGCTTCATCGTTCTCTTCAATACGGGCGCGCGACCAGTCGTACAGCTTGGTCAGACTGCCGATCTGGAACTTGTTGATCTCAATGCGGTCCGCGTAGGTTCGCAGATGGAAGCTGATGGCGATAAGCTGGATGATGATCTTCTCGATGAGGTTCAGGATCGTCCAGACGAAGATGACAATGATGATCTTGTTCATGGTGTTCTCCCAGCTTCTAGTGCCGCTGTCACCGTTCAAATGGTGGTTCTTCATCGTGGGCAGGAACGAGATCTCAATGGCCAGCCACCAGAGAAAGAGCGCAGCATGAAGCTCGAGCTGCTTGGCCATATCGCGCCATTTCTTCGCGTTGTTGGTAAAAATGCTAGCCGTCGTTCCAACAATCAAAGGCAAACACTTCCCAACAATCTATACCCTTCATCAGTAAAAATATGTCTAGTACTGCAAGCAAAAACCACTTACCCGGCCAGCCCAGAGCGTCAACCAAACAATCTCCAACCAAATGGAAAACCAGAGTAACCGAACGCCACCAACAGTGGCATTCTTGTATTTAAGCGCGCCAAGGAGCAAGGGAATAAGGATAATAAGGCACAACGGCGTAATGTAAGTAAAGTAGCGAACGATGAAGCTCGACTCATGCACCTTTTTGATAAAGACGGCGATCGTTGTATTAGGACTCTCAGGCGGCTTATAGATAGCGGCCTTCTCATGCAACGGATTCGTCGCCTCGTCGAACTCATCCACGGGCTCGGAGCGCCGCGAGCGAGACCGATTGATCGACCCGGGACCACCGCCGCCTTCGAGCCCATCCTCGCCGCCCTGCGTGGACCGTGAGACGACGCGCTCGGCTTGCAGGAGCATCAGGTCATCCTCCAGTCGGGTAGCACGCTCGCGGCGTGCCGAGGGCGTGCGAATTGGTGGCTGGGCCTCATCTTCGGCGGTGCGTGTTGTGTCGAGCTTAAGGCGGTTGGTATCGGGATGGTCGTTGATGTAGGTGTAGGTACCATCGTCGGATGCTGGGGAGAGCTCCTCGCTGTACTTGTACTTCTCCTTCTGGTCTTCCAGTTGCAAGGCCTTGGCCTCGTCAGTAGGAGTCGACATGGTGGTGGCGCCGTGCCGGGGAACTTGGAGCTTGGGCCTCGGAGATCAGCCGGAAAAGAAGCGAGTGACGGGGTTGAGAACCAAGAGAGTGTGTGGCCAAGGCCAAGGAGAGCGGAATCACGAGAGATGCAAAAACGAAGGGAAAGAAAGAAGGAGGAAGCTGCCCGGTTAAAAGAAGCAGTGAAACGGAGTGAGTGGAGCAGTGGAGTGGGTCGAGAGGGGACCGAGTCTGGACTCATCGATCACCGATGATAATCGAGAACAATAACCATAATAATGATAATAAGAATAATAATGATTATGGCAAACAAAGTGCAAAATCAAAGATCGAAAAAAGGTCCCTAAAGGCAATCTCTGCCTACCACATCCTCCGCACCCAATCACTTGCTCATATCGGGTATCGGGCCCCTGGACAGACCATCCGGCTCCAACGCTGACAGGCCGCCACGGGCCCACACGCTGCTAAATCCCCACCGAGTGGCGGTGATGACGACGGGGGGAAAAAAAAAGAAAACGGTACTCCCGTAAAGGGGCGCGATCTGCATGGAGCCCGAGGATGTGGCAGAGTCTGGCCTGGTCGCGCACAGATATCTTTGTTCTTGTTGTGAGTGCTACTATTTATGCCTGTGGTGGTTTCGTGGTGGATATACAAAAAAAAAATTGGGTATCACTAGAGAACGCCCCTCGCGCCACTGGGGCGCCCCCTGCAGGGACTAGATCTATGTGAGCTAGTATGTCAACAGATAGATTAAAGTATCTATTCTTGGGACAGTTCTATTCTTACAGCAACCGGGAATCAAAGTATGGAGCAGTGAGTGCCAAAAGGAGACGGTCGGACATGATGTATTCGACTACTGTACAATTCGATTTCAGTCGCTGCATACTGCACCCCCGCCACGACGATCCTCTTTCCGCTACCTATCATCGATTGGCATGGTGAGGGTCGCTAGGATGTGTCCGGAATCGTCGAGTGAAGCTAGACTGGGATGCGCTGCAACAAAGTCGGTGGGGGAATCAGAGCCGGCGAGTGAGCGGCACAACGCCAAGAATTGCCAAGAGGGATTTCCAACGAGTTGTGCCGTGAGTTGTGTAAGTCTGGAATTGTACATTTACAGGTGGTATTGGAAAAAGCCAAGGAAGGAAACAGCGTCAAGCTGGTGGTGCATTGAGTAAATAATTCACACTTGAAAAATAAAAAAGAGAATAACAACCGATGGAGAGTCCTATTTCATGTGAGAAGGGGGAAAAAAAGTAAATGCCGGAACACCCTGCTCCAAGAAAACACTCGAACAGTTGGGAGAGGACATAAGAGACGTGAGAGGGACATGCTCGCAGAGACAGAAAAAAGAACAAGTATACAGAGGAAATGCAGCAAACTATGTGGATAGAAGGAGAAGAAAGAAAAGAAGGAAAAACAAAATGTCCGAAACATCTTGCGCGGATCAACCACGAAGCAATTTGCTAAGCTGCAGCATGCGAGCTCTATCGCTTGAACATGGACGACAGATCCAATCGATGATACCGCTCCGGGGCACGCGGCGTTTGCTCCGGATCCAGACTGGGAGAAGGATGAAGGGGGCGCGGCGTCGCTTC